GCCCGGCCCCCGCCGCGGAGCCCGGGAGCGGCGGTGCGGGGCCTGCAGCGCTCGGCCGGGGGCGCCGTGTGAGCTCAGAGCCAGCACGGGCACCCGAGCCCCGGGCCGGGGCTGTCACAGCGAGGCCCGGGGTATCATCCCCCGAGTGCGGAAACTGCGAGAGGGCGTCACTGCCGCTGCCGCTTCTGATGTTATAATAAAGACCTGCGGAAAGGCCGCGTGTGACCTACAAGTTCCTACAAGTCACGACGGTTGCTTGTGCAGCTCACGCTTTTTTCCGTGGTGGCCGCAGAGCGTGACCTCTGTGAGGGGAGGCAGCGGGTGCCTGCAGGTTCTGTGGCGCTGGGCCGTGGCAGCGTTTGGCTCCTGTGCGGCCCCTGCCAGTGTGAGTCAGAGCTGTGCGCCGAGCTCTTGACTCCGAGACCTGAGCGATGTTTCATAACCTTGCTGCTGCTTCCATAAAAGTACAAATACGGTGCGCAGTGCTCTCGGGCTCCTTACGCTTTGGAAGGAACTGACAGCCAAAGGGGTTTTGTCCTGTGGTTGCAGGAATGGATACAGTAAATGGGTCTACTGTTTGTGTGTAACTTACAGAGGCTTGTTGGCTTATGAATCCATAAGATCTTTCAATAATCACTTCAGGAACATAGAACTTTTAATAATCACATCAGGAACATGTCCCAGTTCCAAGTGATCAGATGTATCTGGCATAGATTATACAAGGATGTAGAAGGAGGGAAGCATTTTAAACGGCGTAAGAGAGTTTTCAAAAGACTGTGCAAATGTCTGCAGTGTGGCAGATTTGAAACATTATGAATGATTGTCTTGTTTCAATTTATTTTTCCCAAAAGTCATGCTCTATTGAAAGATTTACCTAGTTCTGTGCCTAAATTAAGATTGATGTGGTATGTCTTGTGCTCAATTCCTTTCTACTCCAAGTTAACTTTTATTGAAGCATTTTAATGTGTATTAAAGTCTCAGTCAACAGCCTAGCCCTTAAATGCTGTAGAGTTAAGCTAATTATAGTCTTGAATTCTCTTGTCCTGATATATTTGAACCTGTAATAGGCCATTAAAAGTGGTCTTTCATGTTATTATTTCTTAATAAAAAGGGAAGAGGAGGATAACATAGGGCAAATGCACAGCTCCCTTGGATTACAGTAGTTTATGTGCAGGTTTTTTTTTTCCCCACGGAACTATTCAGCAATCAAAATACTGAGCTGTTGTTCTTCTGTTTGTTTGTTTTTTCAATAACCTGATTGTAGCTAGTTATTTTTAGTAGTAGTTTAAGTCAATCTTTTTCAAAGTTATTTTTATGTAAAACAAAATACATGAGGGATGAGTGCATATTTTTTTCTGCTTCAGTAGCTAGAAGAATGGGATTTTTTCCAACTTGGAGGTTGTCAAAAGACAGAAAGGAAGAGATAGAAAAAAGTATATGACAAGTCATATGTTTAAAATATTTTTTGTAATGATCTAATGTTCTTACTATTTAATTACAAAGATATTCTTGGGTAATGATAACTAGAGGATCAGAAGAAAACTAGCACTATGCAAATGTTTTTAGCTTTTGGGCAGGCTGTTAAAGAAATAGATTGTGTGCTATCTGAAGTTGCAATTGAAGTGTTTTTCAAAGCATTTAATGAAGAAAATACTAGTTTCTTATGTTTCCTGCATCTCATTTGTGAGTGAGAATGTCAGAACTAGCAATGATGGGGGAGAGCATTGATGAGATATTTCTGACTTTCTCACATGAAGCCTTAGAAATTTATAGTGATTGTCACACATATGTTTTTGATGTACAGGTTCAAGGATTATGTTGTGCTAGGTGGGAGGAGTGTTCTTCATCAGTGACTTCAACTGTTTCAAGCATTTTTATGTGCTCAGGTAAAACATTTATAGAAGTGGTTTAATGTTTTAAATGTCTGTATGAAATTGGTGATGGTTTTATATATTTTTTTGCACCTAAGGAGGTAGATGGTCAGGTCAAAGTGATATAGCCAAATGCTGAATGTAGAACTTGGATTGGAAGCTGACTGGAAATATTACTGCAGTTGCAATTAAAGAAACTTTGGAGTTTTAAAAGTGCATGGGAAAATCAGAAATATAAGAACTTTTATCAGTTATTTTAGCAATATTTATTCTGATATTTATTAGTGTTATCTCTAGTCTAAAGTCTTGTTAATGTACAGTATGCCTCAGAGGAGATGCTGTTGTATTGTGGGTACACATGTTTGAGTAGAATTTTTGTTTATTTACCGCTTCCTAAAATGTTTATCTCTTCCATTAAATGCAGTTTTCTGTCCTTTGCTAGCTATATTTCCTAAGATATTGGAACTTTGTTTTTGTTTGTTTTTTTATTTCCTTGAAATAGGAATTAAGGTGGATGAAATGTTTCATTGATCATAGCAGGAGCAGGACGTATAAGGTGGGTATGTTTAAAGATTATAGTTAATATCTTTGCAGAGTATTTTAAATTTTGATTCTGTGTCCATCTGAACACAAAGACAGTTTTTGCCTCTGTGTTTGACTTGCTATTTACATGCTCATTTAAAATTCTTTAAGGTCATTGAGGGTGTACTCCATTGGGCTTGTACACCAGTGAAACTAATTGTTTTCATAATTTCTATAAAAGGTATTAGTTGTTCAGTGGTATTTTTAAAAATCCCCCCTGCCCCCCCTGAGACTGCATCCGCCCAGCCATGGTCCAGAGAGCGGGGGAGTTAATACAGCAAGGACTAGGGATACAAGGAGACTCTCTTCTGGTGGGATGAAGCCCCAGCTTTAGTCAGAAGTTGTCTGGCAGGAAAAGAGAGAGAATCATGTCCCGCGCTGCTTTTTGAACCGAGGGGAAGGGGGTAGGGAGGGCAGGGTACAGCCAGTAGGGAAGAATCAAATGGGAGGGATGACCAGGAAGGAACTAACATCTTACAGAATCAGAGGGAGAGCCCCAGAAATATACCATGTATCTTGATACAATGCAACAGGTCAGCAGCAGGCAAGTGTGTTTTGGTGCTCATCCTTATTTGCAGTCAAGAGAAGACATTGGCCTTATTTGCTAGGACTTAATACTTCATGTTGGCACTGTAATTCACTTACAGAGGTCTAGAGCATGCTTTTACTTAAAAATATTTTTTTAAAATAAATTTAAAACATGACCATATTTTTTTACAATACTAACATTGGCAAATAAGAGAAACAGTGCTGCTTGAGCAATAATTGAGCCCTTTCTCAGGGAGCACATTTGCATGTTGTTGTCAAAGTTAAATGAATTACAGACTTTCTTGCAATGTAATCACCATTAAATTATATGACAGTAATCTTTATTTTTTATTTTTTAATTTAAAAAATAAATTCGTTTGGGTTTTTTTTTTAAATTTCATTCTTTCTTGTGCTGATGTAACAAAGAGATTCTTACTGCCAGCTTAAAATGGCATTTGGAGAATGCTGTTGTCTTTGTATTGTATTTTCTCTATCACTGTTGGTCTTGTCACTTCATGAAACTGCAGAACAAATGGGTAGAAACCATCCTATTCTAATATCACAAAGTGTGATATTTCCTAATTAAATAATCTTTGACTTACTGTAATATAGTACTTTATGTGCTGATATTGATTTGTTCCTAATTGGCTGATCAAACATAGTGCCAGTAGTATTCAAGCATGACTTTTTTAAAGGACTGATTTCATGGGTATTTATAGTATAATTGAATGTTGTAGGAAATGTTAGTGTGGTTTGTGTAGCAATACATATTGTAATCTTATAACTCTTCCACTTAATATCAAGAACATAATGAAGACACCATAAACCTAACTGTGGTAGAACTGTACTGTGCATTGAACAAGGATGCAAAAGGGCATCAATTAAGGAGAGACTATCTTTGCTTTGTCACTTCAGTCTTTTACCATTTTAGGAAAGAATGTTTTCCTCACCTAAACTGTGAGCTGTTCTTTTTCTCTTTGGTTCTTTTCTTGCAGCTTTTTGAAGGCCATACAGTACTGAAAGCCTTGCTTGAAGGGAGGCTGGCTGGTGTCCTAAACACTAGAAGAGGTTTAGTACTGAGCTGTCAGTACACCTTGAATTGTTGCACAAAAAGAAAAGAAAGAATGTAATCAGTAGCTCAGTATATCTTTCAGAATTGTAATGCATTGTGGTCATTTCATTTGTGGTTGAACTTTTATTTTTTGCAGAATGGTGAGAATTTTTTTTTCATGGAACCTTATAAAGAGTAAAATTATGGAGTATTGAATCGTAAACGTGCTTTTTTTTTTTAAGTGTGGCTTTTAGAGGCTGGTGTAGGATGTTAATTTCTGTGTATGCATCATGTTTCATTCTGTGGCTTAGCAGTTTATTGTTTTTCAGAAAGTCTAAACCCAGGATTGTTGGTTTAGAAAAAGTGTCGTGGTTAAAGCCAAGAAGAGGTTATATGGTGAGCTTCAGAGCTGGACTGTCTTAGCTCTGAAGAGCCTCTGTCACAGCAAGTCACTGGGGAGACAGGAGTATTCTTGTGGCTCTCTTGGATATTTGCCAGGAGGAGCAGGCGCTAAAGAGATGGAAAAGTGTCTTGGGAAATTTGTTTGATAGGTAAAGGAGTCGTGGGGGAAAGAAACTACTTCTGGCAGACTTACTAGGATCTATCAATGAAATTGGTTTGGGACATTAGGTTAGTTGTAAGTTACAGCTCCTCGGAAAATTTTTGCTGTTAAAGTGTGGGTGGCAGAGCAGTCAGAGCTATGTTTCCATAATCAGTCTATTTCATGAAGCCCTATGTTACCAGTAGCTGAATGCTGAAATGTCTGTAGGAGTGATTTAATTGTTTTACATGACCCCAAAGGAGAAACCAAACCAAAAAAACTCTCAAAGGTGCATTATTCAGCCGTTAAGGACAATTGCGAGCGACTGTATCCCTTCTTCAAAGGATCTTTCTCTTGGGCCAACACTATGAAAATGGTGTATGGTAACAAACTAAAGCTTAGACTGATGTTGTTGTTATACCTATGCTTCTTTGCCACTTTACTTTTCTTATATGCATGTTTGTGGTTATTTGGGATGAACTGTAGAAAATAGGGATTTTACAAAAATTTTACTGATTTTTATAGTTCTGAGCACACTTCAGTCTTCTGCTGAATGACATAGAACTTAATTTTGGTGTGTTTTTTGGGCCATGACTGTTTGGATTCCCTCAGAGAGACTTTAGTCTGCTGATTGTGAGGGTCTGTAATCTCAGATTTATATCAGTCTGTCCTTTCAAAGAGTGCTGCATACACCAGGACACAAAGTTCTGACAGTTTTTGCTCTTCCTTAGCTCAATCAAACCAGAACTGCTGGTGAGGAAATAAGGTACATCCATGTTTTTAGGAAGCAGGTCAGTAGAGTTGAACTACCCAACATTGGTCTCTGCTAATTATGTGTGGTGTCCTAAAGATAAAACTACATGAACCCCCAAAATACTGTTAGAGAATTAAAAAGGATCAGTCTCTAGAAACCTGCATAACCCAGTTGTGTAAGTATAGTACTCTGTGTGTGATGATTCAAATGCTTGGAAGTTACCAGCCTGCCAGTAAAATAATATGGATGTTCAGTGGGTTGTGTTGCTTTTGTCATCAACAGATTTTGAGGCTTTACTGAAGCAGGAAAACAAATTAGTATTGGATTTAGAAAAAAGGAACTGTTGTATATTACAGGACTCAAATGGAGACCACCCAAATGCCTTCAGCTGGTTTTTGTTATTTTCACAAATAGTTTGTTCTTTTAGTAGAGTGCTTAAGAACAGATAGTTGGGTCAATGATTCTATTATGTTTTTCCCTAAACAGCAATATTAAGCAAACTTTACAATATTGTTCATCACTGAGAAAAAAAAAAGGCTTATAGGTTCCCTTGGTTTTTTTTTAGCTTCTAAAGAAAAATAGTGATAGGCTGTTGTGATTTCAGATCTTCAAATTATAAATGTAATGCACTGAGTTTTTGGAAACTTTTTTCTAGTTTTGGCCCTTGTAAGGGCCAATACATTATCTATTATATTCTATGGTATTTTGTAAGTTAATTCAGAGATGTTATCTATTTTCCATAGTTCTGGTAGAATAGGTAGTATGCAGAATATTCTTGTCCTCCATATAATATGAGTTATCTTTTTTATTACAGTCTTAATTTTTCAAAGGGCAGGTCTGCTGTATTTTTACTGACTCATTTTTGTGCCAAAGCATGCTTGGTGCATCATTGAAGACCTAAAAGCAAAAAGTCCTGGCCATTTACCTTTGCTTAGTGTGTGTTTGTGTTCTCCTGTAAACCAGTGATTTTCGTCCTGGGAAGGTACCCTGACTGGCAAATGGCAAAGATTTGCAGACTGTAATGGGTGAGATACAAAGAAGAAATTATGCTGAAGGACAAAAAAAAGCAAACCTGGCCTCAAATGATGTCTTGACATGTTAGTAATGCCACATACTCAAAGTAGGGAACTGCGTGTTAAAAATATTGTTTCTTCTCTTAGCTTCTGATATCTGTGTTGATACTTGCAATCAAAATAAATGAAATGTGATGGAGTATGAAATGCTATGGTAAAAATCAGTATCTTACTGTCATACAGCATGCCATTGCAGTGGATGTGGTGCTGAATGCCTCTAAAAAGGATGTAGAGAAGAAGGGAATCAGGGAAGAGTCTGAAAGAGGAATCTGTGGGGATGGAAATTTGCTTTTATAAAGAGAAATTGGAAAACAAAAGAGATTTTGTAGCTTTTGAAAGGCTGTGAATATAGAGGAGTATAACAAAAGTACACAAATGATGACTTGTTTGAGAGAAGTAACTTAAAAACTTTTGCTTTGTTGGTTTGTGCTATAAGAGTAAGGGGACATTCTGTGAAATTAGGGTGACAAAGTGAGAAAGGAAACTTGAGAAAGGTTATATTTCTTAATAAACTGGTAAGACTGAGCTCTGCAGTCTAGGGATAATTTTAATTTAGAAATATTCTAATATAAATTGGATAAGTTAGAGTTCAAGAGTATTTAAACAGGCTAAAGTTATCTTTTCTCCTGAAAGAATATAATCCCTTATCTTTTTGTCACATGCAAATTTATTTTTTCCGTCGTGATTTTTTAATAAAGCTCATCTAAAAACCATGTGTTGATAGTGTGAGTAAAGAAAGTAAGTCTATCCCTAGGTTGTTTATGGGAGAAAGAGTTACAGCATCTTACTAATTTGTTTGCAATCTTTCCCTGTATTGGGTTATATCTAGGTGACTGACCCGCTAGGTGTTGTGTCTAGTTCCCTTGGTAGGATGCACTGATTTACTTTGTTTCTCTTGTAAATGTGGCTATTGGAGAAGAGGTTTTGGTGGCTAACATCAGCATCCTCATGAAATTGGAAAGAATTTACATAGGCCAGTTGTTTTTGTGACTTGCTACTCATGAGACACTGTTCTGCTTTGATTTTT